TAGCAACTACAAAGCCTGTACATCAGCTGAAGGCCCATGTTGCCCAACCTCACCCTTACCCTCCAAAACAATACAAATGAAAGCCGTAATCCCTTCTGACAATCCTTCATTGCCAAACAGTGTGGTAAGACAGATCTTGCAGTATCATAAGACCTGTATGAAGTACTCACTGCAAATGGTGATTAATTTGACCTAACGGTGGTGAATGACACACTTAATAAAATAGCTTCCTCGTAACACACTTAAACCCTTATAACACAGACACTCCCTTAAGAGTAAACCCTCATTTCCTGCCCTCAATGACAGTGCAAGATTCCAAAAAAGAAACACACACCCACAGACTAATCTTCACTGACTTCACTATACACTGGTTAATGTGACATAGCTAAAATTCAACACAAAATGCATCTGCTCCTGCCTTTGTCCCTTATTAGAATGCCTTTTATTCAACTGCTACTAACAATCTTTTAGCCCTTCCCAAATCACGCTTATTCTTCCACATCCCTACAAGCTTTGCAGATTTGTTCCCCACAAGAGATCCGTTAACCAATTCTGACACTACTGACAATAGCGTGACAAACAGATGGATCAGACCACATACTGAGTATGCAGAGCTAACAATAAGAAAAACCATTTTTTACTAACGCATACTGCACTTTCATTAGAGAAACTATATGAAATAACACAATCATCATTTTCCATTCCCATGCACTCACAGCTATACTTCACAGGCTGCCACAGTAACGGGTGGCTACTTGGCATTGTTTAGTAAAAATCTACAGATGCAGATGTCTTAATTCAGCATATAAATTGCATCGGGAGCAATAGCGGTGACAAAATGTATCCTGTACAACTGTACACTAAACATAGTTTATGTTCACAGATGGCCAAAAGAACCCATCCAATACTTCCTAATATAGAATGGAAAACCCACACACTGACCAATGAAAACATGCTGACACGGCTGAATTTACAGTAGTGGTAGGCCACTGGTGAGATACCATTGATGCTATCCTGTGTGAAGTTTTGGTGGTTGCCAATTACAGTTAAAGAAATTTATAAAAGTTTTAAATGAAAAATACCATAATGCAAGGATTTAATCAGAAAGTCACCAAGACTTTTACTACTTTCCTGCATTTGAAATCCCAAATCTGACATGGTTCCCCTGCTTGGTCGAGCAGAAAGGAAGCTAAGTCTGTAATGGACTTACTTGATGTAGGTATTAATCCAGAGTACTATATCATATTACTGGGGCTTGAGTTATTGATTGTATACATAAAACCCTCCACTATTTTTATAAGAAATTACGTAGTCATACAAGGCAAAGGAGCTGGTTAGATAACCAAAAGTAAAAAATTTTACTTATTCCAATCATATGTCTTTCCTAAGTATAAGCCTATAGTACAAGACACTGTCACTAAACTGTATGGACTTAATACGTACTCTGCTCTGTCCACAGCTGCAGACGCTGGGTTTTGGTTTTGTGGTTTTGTTTTGTTTTTTAACTGAGCTCTATCTTCCCTGAACATAAATTATAAGCCTGGCTTACTTTTGTAAGTTGGTCAAACCTGTGAGCTAGGAGTTGACTACATATAGGGATTACATCATCAGCCTTCCCATGCAGTATAGCCAATGCACCTGAAACCTTAGCTAGTGTAATAAGGATGCTTATGCTCTTTTTCCTAGTGTTCCATGAACAAAAGATTCATGGGAAGCAAGATAGAAAAATGACCAGGAAAGTCTTCCAAAGGGATGAAAGGCCCTTTCCAGTCCAGAACACAAAGAGAATTTATTTGCCTATTACTGTGAGTACATCTTTTGGGTAACACTCTGAACTTCAAGGATTTACACAACAAAGGTGGTTTCACTCCTACAGTAGCAGCCTTGGTGTTCAAACGCTCATGAGCTACAGATTACAAGAAAAGATGAAGGAGTAGATTCTGACCAGAAACACTGAAATTTTAGAACAAGACTGTAATGACAATAACTCCAGCTATGAGACTACGTTGTCACTGGGAATACACAAAAGGAGCTGCTCTGGTATTTCTTACTGATAAAAGAGGTAAATAAATCAGACACTGAGTTCTACCGCCTCCGGTCAGTAGAATTTCAGCACTGGTAGAACACTCACTTAACCTGCTCCTAGGGACAAGGTCAATTAAAAGACCAGAAACGGACAAAGTCAAAAGCTACAGAGCAAAATCCGCAGACCGTCCCTGAACTCCCGACACACACCACTCCGGTGGCACTCACAGCCAGCGTTTCCCTCGGGCATTTCAGGGATGCAGAAGGCGTTAAGGGGAACGCCGAGCGAGCTCTCCACGGCGGCCCGGCGCGGCGGAAGCCCGGGCGGTGCTGAAGGGACAGCTCCGCCAGCGGCGGGGGGGGGGGGGGGCGCCCGAGAGGTGCGACAGGAAGGTGGCAGGCAGATAAAGGAGATGGGCAAAGGAAAACCGAAGGCATGGAAAGTAAAACTCTTCCTGTGTGCTGCCTGTTTCACTTCTGAAAAAAAACCAAACAAACACCAAACATATCTCCACTAGATGTACAAATCAACTAGAACAAGTCCGGGACGTAAAACTGGGATATTTGTGCTTCCAGATAAAATTTAATGCGTTACACTGCAAGTTATTTTGCAAAGAAAGTTTTCTTTTACTTGCCAGTATGACTTAGCTTTACTTTGAAAATGTACTTTTCTTTAAGGCAGACTGGCCAGCTCATGGGTAGCTTAATCAGGAAAACAACCCAACCAAACAACTCATCTTTAGAAAAGTTTTGTGTGCTTCTTTTTAAAGGTATTCTGTGCTTAATTAGTTTCTTTGTTTTCACAGACTTAGTTATACAGCTACATTAGTGCACAAAATACTCGTTTTTCTTCACTTTTCCAAACATACCAACCCCTTTTCTAAACTCCAGTTTAATTTGGCAGACATGCTGTACTGGACTGTAAGGGCAATGGGAACATTTAACATGCATTTTTTACCTTAGAATTTAAAGAACTGAAGTGCTCTCATTCCTCTGGGGACCGATATGGAATTACAGTGGCCATGTTGACAACTGCAAAGTAGTTGCCGTTTAATCAGCATTTATTATACCATACAATTAAGCTATTTAATTCAGTCCATAGTGTCTAAGAGCCCATAGGGCAAATGAGGGTCCTTCAAGCTGGCCCACTGCTGAGAGCCTCAATAGGCTACTTTAATCATTCACAGTACCCCTACTGAGGTAAGATTCAAACACACTTCGTGGATGGCTGGAAGACAGTGTGCAATTCCTAGCTATGCTCCTACAGCTCTCAGTGGAAGCAGAATGTGTAGGACTTATACTCCAAAACCTTCATCAGACATGAAGATAAACTTTAGGAAAGCAACTAAAAATAGCTCCTGTGCTGAGGTACATGTCTGGAACAACACTTTACATTACTCCTGCAAAAAATTAATACTTCATAGTCCAGTAAGTTAACAGTAGATCGCTATTCCAAACAGCCACCAAACTAACATCACCAGCTCTAAAAGTGGGTATCATTCCTTGCAAAGGGATTTCTAACATTAAACTTGGAAATCCAATTTAACAGCAAACAACTTTACCCCCTGTCCAAATTGCATTGTTTCTTTAAAAAAAAAAAAAAGTACTCCTTTAGCATATCAAAAACTTATTGGAGGGCAATAAATTCTACTCTGTCATGAACATATGGTTAATGACTTGAGAGAACATAAGCAGTATAGTCCTGTTGTGGTACTAGAAGGGTAAGACAAGGATAAAGGGGGAAGGTGCAACTCCACAACTGCTCCTGAACTATCAAACCATAGGAAGCGCAATAAGAGAGGAGAATCCATAGTTACAAAGCCTGCATTTGAACAGTCAAAACAGGAGGGGAGCTCAAGCTTCAAGAAGTTCTGTAGAAATGGTTCTCCTACCTATCTCAAAGGCAAAACCTAATAAACATTCACAGTATCTTCTGCATGGGGGAGGAGGGGGAATAATTTACCTGTACTGTTCCAGCATGAAAGAAAACACCACCACTGCCCAACCTAGTCCCTTCACAATCCCAAGGGCAATACTACGAATTACTGAGGTTTTACCTAAATGCTTTCAAGCAGAACACAGAATAAGAAAAAAGCTATTAGTTGTATTCCTTGGAGATATGCCCTAGATAGGACAAAACATCTTTTTACTTCTTTTACTTTCTAGAAAAGCCTAGTCTGAAGATTTTACTCTGCTCCTCAAAAAAAAAAGCTTTATTCTTGCCTGAATTGTCAATAGCGATAATAAACAGGATCTAGAAACAGTCATTCCACACTGTTTCTCTTTCCACAATTGTACATAGTGACAAAAAAAAAAGTAGAGGTGAAATGGCCCTATTCTCTGCCTCCAACAAAGGCTTCAAAACTGCACTGAAGTTCACAGAAACAAACCCATCCCTGTGTGCCTTCAGCATCACAACTTAGTCGGAGCAACCCTCAGGTAGGCCCAGACATCCAAACTTGGATAAAGCTCATTCACAGGTATGTTGGAACAGAATTTGTAAGAAGGCAAAGGGCTAAAGAAGAATCTGGTAACACAAGTCAACTCGGGAATTTTTAAGTCAGAAATAATAAGCTTTTGGTTAGGAGAAAGGAAGATACTGGACAAGTATTAGCAGTGAACCAACACCACAGAAAGCAACCCCTGCCCATTCAGGAACTTCTCCTTAAGGATATTCTTAAAGGGAGAGTCACCAGAGCCGCAGGTGACCCCACCACTGCCCAGCCTCACCAAGCTTCAGCCCTTTGGCGAAAATTTATCAGCCCCTGGGAAACACAGGACTTCACACGGGGAAACCGCTCCCGGCGCCAGCGAAACGCCGACACGCTGGGCTCGGTTCGGCCTCCCCGGAGAGGCAGCACCAGCCTGGAAGGCAG